TAGCCACAGGGCCCGGGCCTCAGGGGCACAGGGTCCTGCAGTCTGAAAGCAGCTCGGGGACCCCAGAGGCCACCAGCCCCACCCTTGGGCCCGAGGAACGTGGGATGCGAGAAGGCGGCCAAGGGAGAGCAGATCCTTGGGTGCAGCGTGCCAGGGGTGGCGGGGCCCCTCAGGGAGGGGGCCGAGAATAGGACTTGCTGGTTCGGAGCAGCATGTGGAAGGGGCAGAGGGAGAGCTGGGTCAGGCGGGCAGAGAGGACTGACGGGCATAGGAATGCAAGACTTGGGTGGCTTGTTTTCCTCTGTCACTCTGGGATGGACTATGGTCAGGGGACTGATCCGTGCGGCGGGGCTGAGGGCTGTATTAGAAAAAGCGCGGGGCGGGAGTGGTGGCCGGGCCTCCTCTGCTACCCCAGGAGAGCAGGGAGAGGCTGCGTCTGTCGCCACCAGGAGCTTCCATCCTGCCCACTTAGGGAGACACTCGAGAACCCAGCTCGGCGTGGCTTGCAGCTGACTGGGTAAAAATATCCCCAAAGTGGATTTTTTCTCTCAGTGCACATGCATGCGAAATCTTTGCAAAGGAGGTTGCTGTTGCCTCCCAAGTAACAAAGGCACGCCCAGGCCGGTTATTTACAGTCACCACAGCCCTCGGATGATTGTTTCTGAGCCAGTGCCACCAGATGGGGAAGACGGTCCTCCTATTTTGTTCTTATCATCGTGTTAATTAGCTGCACGTCGCTGCTGCACAAGCAGAAGTTCTGCAATATTTGACTTGGTTTTCTAATAAAAAAAATAATAGAATTATTTTTAGAGTTGAGATTATTTATGACACTGCATCTGAATTTTAAAGAGATATTTAAATCTTCACTCAACACTGGGGGGGGAGACGGCCTCCTTGGGGCCTGGGTCATGGCGCTGGCGACGCTGGTGTGCCTGTCTGATTTCCTGTCCTCCTCTCCTGGACTGAGTCCCCAGAGGGAAGGGACCACGACGTCGTCACTGCTGCCTGGCATACGCTACACGTCCTATGTATGAATGAAGAAGTGATGGGCCCGGGCCGGGCGAGGGCATGGCAGATGTCGGGTGGAGGGATAAATGGGTGGGTCTGGCTGGGTCGCAGGTGAGCGAGTGAATGGTTTGGGTGCGAGGATGGGGGGAGGCAGAGGGACAGCGGGAGTGGTGAGAACAACCCTGCGCCATGTCCCGTGTCCTGTGGAGAGAGCGGTCCCCGTGGGCCAGGCAGGGAGGTCTTCCTACGAAACCAGGGAATCACACTGCACTTTGAGGACCAAGGGGGCTTTGGATAAAGGAAAAGGGAAATGAAGGTGGGACTGTCGTTTCAGCCTCTTGGAGGCAGGAACTGACGGGAATAAAGGATTGAGCAGATCCTACTGTGCCTGGGGTGCCCGCCTGGGATGCTTGGACTGGTCCATCTTCTATTGATCAGCCGCCACTTGTCAAGTCTGTTAGTTTATGTGATACCTCCATAGCCACACAGCAGCTTCTCAGAGAGGGATCGTCTTCTCTATTTACAGTTGAAGAAATAGGTTCAGAGAGGGGAAGTGACTTGTCCTAAGTCACACAGCAGAGCTGGAATTTGAACCTGAGTTTGAGTGGCTACAAAGCTGCTGCTTTTTTTTTTTTTTAACTATCCCTCTGTCAATAAGGTCACAGATCTGATCTCAGGGTGTTCAGTTAAAAATAAAAAGGTCACAGAGAACAGAGAGGGCTTTTGAGTGGGAGCAGGGGTGATATCATCTCTTAGGTGGCATATTCGGGCAGGATGTCTCCCCAGCTACGGCACGAGCCTGAGCAACTCTGTCATCCTCCATCCTCTGATGAGAACCTTTCCCCCTAGGACCAGGGGTCAGCCGAGTTGAGAACATCAAGCTGGAGCCCAGACCACCAGGGCTCCCGAGGCCAGGAGGAAGAGTGGGAAGGGGAGGAAGGTTGGAGGTGGGGAGGTGTTTGGGATGGGGAACAGCAGAGACAGGTCGTGGTCATGGCAGCAGGCCCTGCACAAGCCTGAGGACTTTCTCCCTCAGGTCAGCAGACCCCTGAAGTCTAAGCCCTTAGAAATGATCTAGTGCAGTGACTTCTATGTATGGAAGAAGAGCCCAAGACCCAGCAGGGTATGTGGCTGCCCAAGGTCGCCCACAAGTCAGAAGCAGACTTTCCACCATCACTTACACCTCTTGACTCCCAGGCCATTGCCAACTGGGAAAGGTGGTGCATTGGTGCCACGATGGGACAGGTGGCAGAGAAAGGCCTATTCTGCCACCAACCTGCTGTGTGACCTTGAGCAAGTCATTTCCCAGCTCTGAGCCTCGTGTTCTCTTTCCTGAAAATGAAATGATGATCTCAGCCCTGCCTTTCTGCCAAGAAGTATCCAGTGAGAGATGAACTTTACAATCTGCAGAGCCGTGGGAGGAGAGTCACCAACAAGAGGCAGGCTGGTGCCAGGTGGGTAGGTGCCAGGGTTGGGCCTGGCACCACCAGGTTTCCCTAAATCCCTTGCCCAAGCCTGCGGATCCTTGGTCTCTGCCCAAGCTTTGCCATCTGCGTGGTGGCATCAGCTCCACCTCATCCTGCCTCCCTGCCAGGAAAAAGCCTTCTGGGATCTTCTCACTTCATCAGAATCTTCCCTCTCGCTCCCCAGCCAGACCCTCTCCTCGCCACTTCTATTGTCATCAGGATTCTTGGTTGCAAGTGACAGAAATCAGAAGGAGAATCAGAATCAGAGAAATCAGAATCAGAAGGAGGGAGAACTAGCTTTAGGTATGGCTAGATCTGAACACCTAAGAGATGTCACCAGGACACCCCCTTGCTTGTGTTTGGTCTTCCTCCTATACATGCTCTCGCTGTCCTCAGCTGTGGCTTCCTCCCCGGGCGTCCTCCTGTCCTCCTGAGGTGGCAAAGACAGCCACCAAGAGGTCCAAGCTGGCACCACACCCATTCAGCTATCCTGACAGAAGAGAACAGCTCTGTCCCGACTGTGCCAGCAAATATCCAGGGTGGTTCTCAGGGACAGGGCACACAGGTGTCTTTGATCATTTGGCTACACCTGGGTTACCTGCCCACCCTAGAAACTAGAAACTGCCCGCCCAAGCCACGTGGACAGAGCGGTGGGAGGTGGTTCTTCAAAACAACAAAAAGAGCTGGGTGTGGGGGCTCACGCCTTTAATCTCAGCATTTTGGGAGGCCAAAGTGGGAGGATAACTTGAGGCCAGGAGTTCAAGACCAGCCTGAGCAGCATATCAAGACCCTGTCTCTAAAAAAAGTAAAAAAAAAACAAACAGATGGCCAGGCACAGTGGCATGTGCCTATAATCCTAGCAACTCAAGAGGCTGAGGCAGAAGGATGGCTTGAGCCCAGGAGTTGGAATTCAAGCCTAGCCTGGGCAACATAGTGAGGTTCCCATCTCTTAAAAAAATGTGGGCCCAGGCTGGGCGCAGTGGCTCATGCCTATAATCCTAGCACTCTGGGAGGCCAAGACAGGCAGAGTGCTCGAGGTCAGGAGTTCGAAACCAGTCTGAGCAAGAGCAAGACCCCATCTCTACTATAAATAGAAAGAAATTAATTGGCCAAATAATATATAGAGAAAAAATTAGCCAGACATGGTGGCGCATGCCTGTAGTCCCAGCTACTTGGGAGGCTGAGGCAGGAGGATCACTTGAGCCCAGGAGATTTGCGGGGTTGCTGTGAGCTAGGCTGATGCCACGGCACTCACTCTAGCCTGGGCAACAAAGTGAGACTCTGTCTCAAAAAAAAAAAAAGTGGGCCCCATTCATCATCTATGGCGAACGTATCTTGCTCTTGCTCTGTAAACCTATCTTGCCCTTCCCCAGTAAACTTCATTTCACTCTTGCCTTGCGAAAATAAAGAAATACTTTTTAAAAAATGGATTCAGTCACCAGAAGAAGCAATGTTGTACAGTCAAACGCAGTAGGTATCTTGGTTGCACCACCAGGGCTCCCAAGGCCAGGAGGAGTCAGAGTGGGAAGAGGAGGAAGGTTGGAAGTGGGGAGGTGTCTGGGATGGGGAACAGCAGAGACAGGTCGTGGTCGTGGCAGTGGGCCCTGGACAAGCTGATCTCAAACTCAAGCTAAGTATATCAGGTGAAAGACTGGACCAGGGGCTGCTGGGTAAGGGATATTGATTTGTTCTTATACATATAGTAGCTTTTGCTGCATAACACATTGCTCCAAAACTTGGTGATTTAAAACAACCATTTTATTTAGTTTACGATTTTGTGGGTCAGCTGGGAGGTTCTGGTCTGGGCTGTGTCTGTGGTGAGTTAGTGATCTAGGCTGATCTCGGATGGCCTTGCTCAGGTGTCCCACAACTGACTGGCTGTCACCTGGACGCCTCCGCTCCCCTGCTCTCCACGTGGTCTCGCATCCTCCAGCAGGTCAGCTTGCTCACAAGGTGGTCTTGGGCAAGTGCACAAGCTCCGACACACTTGCATCGTGTTTGCCAAAGTCCCTTTGGGCAAAGCCAGTCTTATGACCAATCACAGCTGCCAGAGAGCAGGGAATCAGGAAGAGGAAGATCTGAGGCCAATTTTGCAATCTACTGTAGCTCCCTGGGGAAAGGGAATGAAAAGTTCCTTCTCTGTGGCCCGTGGATCCCATGGGCAGGGCAACCTACAAATGGAGATCGTCGAAGAGGTGACTCAGGCTTCAGGACTTCCCTGTCCCTCCAGGCCAGGGCTGGGGGAGGCGAGCTGGATCAGACCCTGACCCCCCAGTTTCCCCCCATGGGGAACGTGCAGGAGCTTGCGCTGCTAGTGGGGAGGGCTCCTGACCCCGGCTCCCGACTCCCTCAGCCCACCCCTGCCCCCACCTCCCAGCATCCCTTTGGTAATGAGGGGCTGGATGGCTCCGAGACTGGTGCCTCATCGCCGTGGTAACTGGTGCCACCTGCTCCCTAAGTTCAAGGAGGAGTCCCTGAGCGTCCCTTTCAGGGGGTGACTGTGGCCTCAGCATGTCTCTTCCACAGGTGGCTGCGCTGGAGCGGCAGATCTTTGACTTCCTGGGCTACCAATGGGCTCCCATCCTGGCCAACTTCCTGCACATCATGGCGGTCATCCTGGGCATCTTCGGCACCGTGCAGTACCGCTCCCGGTACCTCATTCTGGTACGGTTCACCTGGCGCCTTCCCACGCCAACCCCTCTTCTCACCCCTGCCCACTCACCCCTGCTCCTCACCCAGCACCCCCCCCCAGTGCTGGGCACCCAGACCGGGTGGTCCTGGTTCCAGCCTCGCTGGTGGGGTGGACGTCCAAATCCCAGGGCTTCTTAGCTCAGAGGAGCAAGGTTGGTATTTTGCCCAAAGAATTTCCTGGGGAAATAATCGAAATATACACAACACAGCCTGTGTGGGGCACACTGCCAGGATTTCCCGTGCTTTGTCACATCTTTACAGCAGCCCTGTGAGGTCCCTCTCGCTCTCTCCATTTTCCAGATGAGGGAACGGAGGCTCAGAAAGGTTACGAGTCTTCCTAAGGTCACACAGCCAATAAAGGCAGGGCCAGCATTAGAGCAAGAGATCTGGAGTGAAGGCTCCCGCCGCGGCTCCACACGCCTCGGTGAGCCAGCGGTGGGCAGGGAAGGGTGGGCTTCCAGAAGGCCTGGCTTGTGTCCCCCCACCCAATGTTCATTGAGGACGTGGCGTGGAGCAGCTAGTGTGGCTTTGAGGTCAAGTGCCTCCCTGTGCTGCAACCCAGGAGTCTGACTGTGGCCCCTGCCCCTTCCCCACCGTCCCTTCCCGAGCCCTGGTCCCGCATGGTCCCTGTCAAGCCTGCTTTCAGCTAGACTGGCCCGCATGCCCTGCTTTCCCCCGAGACCTCCTCACGTGGCTGTCTCTCAGGAAAAGGCTTTTCACTAGATTTACTGCATGTGCTTGACACCTACGGTCACAGTGACATGCAGTGTCATGCTGCCCCAGAGCCCACACACGCTCATCACTCATTCTAGAACTTCTTCCCCCCAACCCCCACAGGCTCGGCTCCCAGAAGCCAGGGAAATAGGGCCCTAAAAATCTCCCTCACCTGACATAAGAGAACACATCTCTCCAGTTCTCAGGAAAGCCCCGGGCACCCCTGTCAACACCGCTGTCTGCCAGGTGACAGCCACTGGAATTGCAGGCACCGGACTCAGGTGGAAGCATCTGGCCCCTAAAATTGTCCTAACCTCCTCATGTCTAGCCCGTGGCTGCGGGCAGGGACCCACTCCTCCCAAGAGGAGGAGACGTGGGAAAACTGAGGGGCTGACAGGGGTCTGCCCTGGCCGCGCTGCTCCCAGCCCCCCTCCGGCCAGGTGGAAAGAGGGACCTGTGCCACTCCGCTGCAGTTAACAGGGCAGGGAGGGGACCGGCAGCTTCCAGGCTGGACCTCTCTTCCATACTTGGGGTCCTGTTTGGTCTGTCACCCCAGCCTTTCTCCAGGCCTCACCCGTAGCCCTGCCCCCGCCTCCCTGCATCCCCTGTACCCCGACTCCAGCCACAGCCACGTGTGGGATGATGTCACACTTAGGATTACCTCCTGTCTCTTTTGGTCTGAAGTTCCTGGCATCCTTAAACCATTGGTGACTCAACTTACCTCCTCCAGCCGAGCACAGCCATTTACAAGAATTAAGGCTTCTTCCTAAGAGGTGAAGAGGTCCCTCATTCTCCCCACCACCGCCTCCAACCTAGACAATCCCAGGCCTCTGCCTCAGGCCCTCTGACATCCCACTTCTAATTGCCAGCTTGGCCTAACATGCACACTTTATAAGGCACTTTCTGTCATCTTGATAATTCATGCCGCGTGGGACTGCTTGTGCTGGGCACTGGCATTACAGCGGGGAATAAGGTGGGCAAGGTCCTCACCCCCTGGAGCATGTTCCTAAAAGTGTTATCTGACTTACGATCCCTGAGGGATTGTTTAAACAGCTCCTGAACACCATCCCTAGAAATTCACAATCAGTAGGTCTAGAGGGAGGACCTAAGAATCTGCGTTTTAAAGAAACTCCCCAAATGATTCCAATATATTCTATGTATTCTAGAGACGGCTGGTCTGGAGGCTGCTGTTCTCTGCAGAGTGGGTAGGATTAGCTACCAGAGGACTTGGATTTGAGTGCCAGCCCTACCTCTTCCTAGCTGTGTGATCTTAGAAAGCCTAAACCTCCTCTTGGCCTTAAACGAGTTACCTCTAAAGAGAGGAGAATGCCTACTTTGCAGGGCTGTTGTCAGGGCTGATAGGTGTGAAAATGATTTGAAACTGTAGTGTGCCCTCTGAGTGAGGTATCATCGTAATTTCCCCTGCAAAGGTGTCCTCAGTCCCTGAGCTCTGTCTCCACTGACACCCACATCCCCACTCCCCCAGGCCCCGCCCTGATCCCACCTCTGCTTTCCCCAGTATGCAGCCTGGCTGGTGCTCTGGGTTGGCTGGAATGCATTTATCATCTGCTTCTACCTGGAGGTTGGACAGCTGTCCCAGGTAAGCCTCAGGCCTGGCAGTGCCCTAGGGCAGAGCCTCCCTTTCCCATCCCCTGCCCCTTGGGCTCCTAGTGTGGCATATGTCTGGGGCATCCTCTCTTGAAAAAAACTTCTTACTGCACACCCAATTAATCTGTGTGCCCCATTCCCCACCCACATATTTTTGTTTCTGGCCTCTACACTTCTCAAAAACAACGATGGAGCAAATAAGGCTGAAGAGCCGTCCATGTGAAGATGGGCTGGGGGTCCCAGTTGACTACAAACTCAACAAAAATAAATAGTATGTGGTGGCTCAGAAAGCTACTCTTAGGTCCTAATAGTAGAGGTAGAGTGTTCAGAGCAAGGGAGGGGAAAATGCCGTGCACTTTGTACCCATAGAGATTTGGATGCAGCCCGGATCAATATTTTTCAGAAGAGAAAGAGACTAGTAAGATTGTGTTCAGGGAAGACTGAGCAGATGGTGTCACATGGAGAACTACTGAAAAAAGGGACTGTTTATTCACCAGAAGATGGTAAAAAAAAAAAAAAAAAAAAAAAGTGGGACCATTTAGCTTGAATAAAAGCAAGTCCAGAGTGATACACCTTCTGTTTTGAAACATAAAGAAGGCAAAACATGTGAATAAGAGCATTGCCGTTGTAGTTTGACCCTGCTAGATTCAAAGCCCTGCTCTAACGTTTCCTTGCTGTGTGACTCTGGGCAACTGGCTTATCCTCTCTGACCTTCAGTTCCCTCATGTAGTAGGTGTCTGTAGATAATAGCAACTGCAGTTTTACGTGGTTGCCGAGGGGATGAAACATGAGATCACACATGTGAGTGCTTGGCCCCTGTCGGCAGGCATTGCATACTTATCTGACTAATGAGTGGCTGGATTGATGAACACCTGGATGCACACCTGGGTGAGCACTGGTCTAGGCCAGCCCCTTCCCCATCTAACAAATGGGGAGACCAAGGACCAAAGAGAAGAGAGATTTGCCCAGGGTCACTCACAGGGGCAGAGAGCAGTGGAGAGAATGAATGGACTGTGAAGCGGTCTGCATTGGGGATTTCACCAACAGCTGGGAGACTGAACCCAGTTACTGTTAATGTTCCTCCCAGCTCTGGATTCTGGGGCTTCTGTGGGTCAGCACAAGCTTAGGATGGAAGAGTGAGGCCTGCATGGTCATCGGGTGCCACCTACTGGCCAAGTGTGGACTTGCAGGTGCAGACTCCCAAATCAAACCAGAGAGAAGGCTATTACAAGCGCCAGGTGTAAAGTAGGCCTTCTAAGTCTCCTGGGGCCTGGGGAGTATATCCCCCTTCCTCTCCCCTAAGCTCAGTATCCCAGGCCCCTCTGCCCCCAGGACCGGGACTTCATCATGACCTTCAACACGTCCCTGCACCGCTCCTGGTGGATGGAAAATGGGCCTGGCTGCCTGGTGACACCAGTTCTGAACTCCCGCCTGGCCCTGGAGGACCACCATGTCATCTCTGTCACTGGCTGCCTCCTTGACTATCCCTACATTGAAGCCCTCAGCAGTGCCCTGCAGATCTTCCTGGCAGTGAGTCCTTCTGTGCCCCTGCCCCACGCACACTCCCAGAGCACCCCAGCCCTTTTGGTTAGCCCCAGCTAAGAGGGGGTGAACGTAGGTCTTCCAACCTGCATGTGCTTCTGCCTGGATCTGTTTCCATACCTTGTACCACCTCCCTTCCCCCCTGCCCCAGCCCCCTTGCGGGGAGTGAGCAGGTTTAAGGAACAGGATGAGGCACCGAACCGCAAGTCATTCTGGGTTTAAATACTCAGTACATCCACTGCATGACCTTAGACAAGCCACTAGCCCTCTCCAAGCTTGTTTCTTTATTCACAAAAAGGAGTGAATAAGGGTTGTGAGAATGAAAAAGTGGCTCTAAGGTAGTGGTAGTTCCGATTTCGGAGGGCCAGCCCCATCCTAAAGGTCACATAGTCCTTGTTCCTCTTAAAAAGCCATTAAGCTGTTACCCAGGTCTAACTGGGAAAAACTGAAGCTCAAAGAGGTAAAATAATTACCTGTCTGAAGTTAGACTCCCAGAAGAATTGGACCAGCTATGTTTGCTTTAAGATGCAGTCATTTGGCCGGGCGCGATGGCTCACGCCTGTAATCCTAGCTCTCTGGGAGGCCAAGGCGGGCGGATTGCTCGAGGTCAGGATTCGAAACCACCTGAGCAAGAGCAAGACCCATCTCTACTATCTATAATAGAAGAAATTAATTGGCCAACTAATATATATAGAAAACATTAACCGGATCTGTACCCCCATAATATGCCGAAAAAAAAAAAAAGAAAACATTAGCCGGCATGGTGGGCATGCCTGTAGTCCAGCTACTCGGGAGGCTGAGGCAGAGGATCGCTTGAGCCCAGGAGTTGAGGCTGTTGCTGTGACTAGGCTGACGCCATGGCACTCACTCTAGCCTGGGCACAAAGTGAGACTCTGTCTCCAAAAAAAAAAAAAAAAGATGGAGTCATTTAACTTGAAGTTATGACGGGTTTGCCTTCATCCGGGCACGCCCCTCCCTCCCCAGTCACGGTGGGCAGGGCAGGGCTAGGCAGGGGGTCCAGGAAAAGGCTCTCTCTCCTCCTTCCCTCCCTCACGTGTCGCCCCCTCTCCCAGCTGTTCGGGTTCGTGTTCGCCTGCTACGTGAGCAAAGTGTTCCTGGAAGAGGAGGACAGCTGTGAGTAAGGCACCCGTGGGGAAATGGGGAGCCTGGCCCCGCACCGCCCCTCGTGTTCAGCACCCTGGACAGAGGCCTGGACTGGGCCTTGGCGGGAGGGAACCTAGGTTGGCCAAGGGGCCCCTTTGGAGGGGAAGAAGAGGCGGCGGGGGTGGATGGGGGCGTACAGAGCCAGCCCATTCTGGAATGAGGCCCAGACGTCCAGGTGCCCAGTGCATGGCCCCAGCGCCTTTTCCCCATCTCGCCCCACCCCCATCGGAGGTCTCTCAGTTGCTCCAGCCCCGCCCCCAGGAGACTTCTCTTTTGTCGGGCCGCCCTGCCTCCCAGGCTCCAGTCTCAAGTGTCAGGGACTTGAGCCCCTGCTGGCCCAGCCCCTCGGAGGCCCATCGCCCAGGGTCGGGGTCCGGCGCAGAGCCCGACCTACGGCGCGCGGGGGTCCGACCCTCGCCGGGTGGCCCGGCTCCGCCTGCCCTCCGATTCTCCCCTCGCAGGGCCCAGCCTCCCGTGACTCGCCCCCAGCGGCGCGTCGCTAATCACGCTCCACCTCCCCTCCGCAGTTGACTTCATCGGCGGCTTCGACTCCTACGGATACCAGGCGCCCCAGAAGACGTCGCATTTGCAACTGCAGCCTCTGTACACGTGGGTCGCGGCGCCGGGCGCTGGCGCAGGCGGGGCGGGCTTTAGTGCCGGGGAAAGCGGGGTGGAGGGGCGGCCGAGGTCTACGCCCCTGCCTCCGGGGTCCACTCCCTGACCCGCCTCTGTTCCCCGCAGGTCAGGGTAGCCGCTGCCCCGCGCCGCGCCCTGGGCGCCCCGGACTGCCAGCCGCTGCGAGCTCGGGCCTCGGCGGGCGGGCGGCGCCCCCTGGCGGCCCGCGGACCCGCTGCAGCCTGCGCCGGCCCTCCTGGGTCTACAGCCGAGAAGCGGACTCGGACTTGGACTTGGCCCTTCGCGTCTGCGTCCGGACTGCAGGGGCGGGGCGGGGGAGGGGATGGCGGGTTTGTATTTTTTTTATCATAGCCTCCGCGTGCGCTGGGGCCTTCCCCCCTTCTCCAGCCTCTCCCTTTCACCTTCGCCCAGCACCTGCCCCCTGTCCAGAGAGAAACAGCAGGACAGCGGACTCACCGCATCTCACTGCACTCACTCACCAGCCCTGGGGAAAGCGACTGAGAACTAGGGGCAGGAGTCCTGGGTTCTAATCGCAGCTCCATCACTGAGTGACGTCTAGCAAAGGCCTTGTCCTCTTTGGGCCTCAGTTTCCCCACATCAAATTAAAATAATCCCTTAGCAAGTGAACTCTTCTAGCCTTCTGGTTTGACTCAATTCCTTGGGCAAGACTAGGATTATAATTCCCATTTTGCAGATATGGAAACTGAGGCCCAAAGAGGTGAAGTGATTTGCTTGAGGCCACCCAGCTAAGCTTTTGGTGGGCCTTGACCACAATGTACTTTCTGTAATTTCAGACTCCAAAACCCACCCAGTGTCTGGTCTCTGAGTTCCACTTCCAAGCCCTCTTCCAGCTTGGACACCCTGGAACCCATATGGTCCCCACCACATTCACACACCACTGCCATCACTTGCCAACGCCTCTCTTAAAGCAATATACCCGTTGGTTCTCTTGTCGGGAACCGGATGGACAGAGCCCAGAGCCCTGAATGTAGCCTGAGCAACAGGGAAGACTTCCTACACTCAGCCTCTGTCCACCTTGGCAAACCTTTCAAGCTCTCTCCTCCAGCAAAGTGGGGCCACAACTCAGTGCCCCCACGGCCCTTCCAGGTCTCTGAGGCTGGGTCTGCCATACCCATGATCAGCCCCCTCAGCAACTCCGCCAGCCCCTGATGGCTCCATCCACCTGACCACTTGGAAGGCCCGTGGTTCCAGAGGGGAAGAGGGCTGCCTGGACACCAGGGTTTATGGATCACCAGCGTTTGTGGCCACCCCAATCCAGAAGTGACCTCTAACAAGTCCAGGAGGAGTTCCAAAGGGGCAGATGAGGGTGTGGGTAATTAATTGGGGGGATGTCAGGAGGACCAGCATGCCCACCCTTCCTTGGGGACAAGTAGAGGTGAGAGCTCTTTCTCCCACCTGCCTCCAGGGACTCCTCTGAGGTATCTGCATCCTGTGCCCTAGCCAGTGAGTGCACAGCGGGAGGATCAGGCCTCAGCATCGCAGGCTGTGAAGCAGCAGCAGCCCCGGGTCAGGGAGGAGGTTGGCAGGCAGGGGCGACCTGGAGGGAAGCCCAGATGGTGCAAGTGGTTTGCACACCTGAGCCTGTCCCTGGTGACCACTCTGCGACTTGCTCTCCACCCTCTGATCTAGCATTCCCTACCCTCCAAGGCCAGAATGTCCTGAGCTAGGCTGGCACCCCACCCCACCATCCCATCTTCAGTCCTGTGCCAAGCAGCCAGCCCCAGGAGTGCCTCTGGCCGCAAGGTCCCAGGCAGCTGGTGGGCACAGCTGAGAGGGGGGCCGTTCCCTTCAGGATGGGCAGCTACTCTGCCCCAGGGCCAGCTCCTGTCTCCAGCCCTCACTTTTCTCACTCCCACCCGCCCAGACCCCTTTCTACTCAACGGGTGTAGCCACTGGTGCTTTGAAGCCTTTTGTTTTTATAAGATGGTTTTTGCAAGGGGACCAGGTTCTCTTTTCACTAGGACCTTGCAAGGCGGGGAGTGCTCCCCTGGTTTCTGTGTAGGTGGGTTGATTAAAGATGGTGTTTTCTTCTCTATTTTCCTGTCCTGCCCTCTGGATCAGCGGGACCTTCTAAGGGAGATGTCTCTGCACAAGGGTGGTCTGGGCTGAGTCCATGTCATCTCTAGGGCACTGCAGTGCCTCTGACTGGTTTTGTGGCTTTAGGCAAATCACTCTCCCTTTCTTTCCTCATCCAAAAAAAATGCAGAGGTCAGACTAAGTGGGTTCCCAAACCTGCCTTCACAATCCCTTGAGCTTTCCACTTATTTTTCTGATTAGGTGCATTTGGAGTTTATGCTTCCAAATATCCTTTGCATCTTGGCTCTTCCCTCTTCCTGACGATTCAGTTCCTGGCTTCAGTGCTGGAATGAGCGGGCACACGGTGCATTAGTCACGGTCCCTGCACCCTACCCTTGACTTCCTGGATCCTATTCTGGTGATGTAGCCCGAGAATCAGCATTTTGAAATTTTTAAATTGTGTGTGTGTGAAAGCAGGTAATGTGTGTATATGGTGCAGAATTCAGAAGGTTCCAGAGCAGTTTTACACTCATATCTGTTTTTCTTTTCTTTCTTTTTTTTTCCCCTTGAGACAGAGTCTCACTCTGTCACCCTGGGTAGAGTGCAGTGGCATCATCATAGCTTACAACAACCTCAAACTCCTGAGCTCAAGCAATCCTCTTGCCTCAGCCTCCCAAGTAGCTGAGACTACAGGTGTGCACAATCATGCCCAGCTAATTTTTCTATTTTTAGTAGAGACAGGGCCTCGCTCTTGCTCAGGCTGGTCTCAAATTCCTGACCTTAAGCAATCCTGCTGCCCCAGCCTCCCAGAGTGCACGTGGCCCTCATACCTGTTTTTCATATCTTTCCAAAGACAGTCAATTGGCCAGGCGTGGTGCTAATCCTAGCACTCTGGGAGACCGAGGCGGGCGGATTGCTTGAGGTCAGGAGTTCAAAACCAGCCTGAGCAAGACCTCGTCTCTACTAAAAATAGAAAGAAATTAGTTGGACAACTAAAAATATATATACAAAAAATTAGCCGTGCATGGTGGTACATGCCTGTAGTCCCAGCTACTTGGGAGGCTGAGACAGGAGGATCACCTGAGCCCAGGAGTTTGAGGTTGCTGTGAGCTAGACTGATGCCGTGGCACTCGCTCTAGCCTGGGTGACAAAGTGAGACTCTGTCTCAAAAAAAAAAAAAAACAAAGACAGTCAATTCTTTTAAAAGTTATACAAATATTTTTTCACAAAAATGGCAACATATTCTACTTATTCTTCAACCTCCTGCTTCTTTCACTTTACTCTGAATCTTGACAAGAATAATAATAATTCATACAGAGCTGCCTCCTGTTCTCCCCGGTGACTGGTCCTGATGCAGCAAGTGGGTAGACGGAGGACCTTACACAAGGATGCCCAGGTCCTTTGTGCAAACCCTGGTGGCCACTCCTGACCACGGCCAGAAGAAACTAAGTCACAGACATTGCCTCAAGGAGCTCCCTGTGTAGTGGGAAGCAGAGAGGATGGGGCAGGAAGGGCGACTGCTGAGAGCAGCCGGCCGCAGGAACTCAGGAGGGAGATCTGATGCAGTGTCTGGGGTAAGAACAATAGGAGACAGATTGGTTGGAGGAAGCTTCAATGGGGAATGTGTTCATTTCCTATTGCTATTATAACAAATTACCACAACTGCAGTGTCTTAAAACAATATAAATGTGTTACAGTTCTATAGAAGTCCAGTGTGGGTCTCACTGGACTGAAATGAAGACGTCTACAGGCTGTGCCTCTTTCTGGAGGCTCTAGGGGAATCTATTTCCTTGCCTCTTCCGGGTTCCAGAGGCTTCCTGCATTCCTTGGCTGGTGGCCCCTTCTTCCATTTTCAAAGCCAGAAACATCCCATCTCACTGATCCTTCTCCACCATCATCTCTGACCAGAGCCAGGACAGGTTCTCTGCTTTTATGTGTGTGTGTATATATATATATATATATTTTTTTTTTTTTTTTGAGATAGAGTCTCACTCTATTGCCCAGGCTAAAGTGCCATGGCATCAGCCTAGCTCATAGCAACCTGAAACTACTGGGCTCAAGCGATCCTCCTGCTTCAGCCTCCCCAGTAGCTGGGACTACAGGCATGCGTCACCATGCCTGGCTAACCTTTTCTATATATTTTTAGTTGTTAGCTAATTCTTTCTATTTTGCATAGATGATGGGTCTTCTATAGTAGAACGTTCGTCTTGCTCAGGCTGGTTGCGAACTCCTGACCTTGAGCGATCCTTCTGCCTCGGCCTCCCAGAGTGCTAGGATTACCAGTGTGAGCCATTGTGCCAGCCTAGGTTCTCTGCTTTTAAGGACTCATGTAATTAGACTGGGCCCATTCAGATAATCCGGCATTTTCTCCTCATTTCATCTTTTTTTTTTTTTTTTAATCACAGTCTTGCTCTGTCGCCCAGACTAGAGTGTAGTGTCATGATCATAGCTCACAGCAACCTCAAACTCTTGGGCTCAAGAGATCCTCCTGGCTCAACCTCCTAAGTAGCTGGAACTACAGGTGTGCACTTAGCCAGGAAAAAATCCTGTAGAAAAAAAATAAATAAATAAAAAGAAAAAAATTAAAGAAAAATAATATAAATAAAAAAAAGAAAACAAAAAAACCAAATACAGGCATGCACCACCACTCCTGGCTAATTTAATTTTTTTTTTTTTTTTTTTGTAGAGACAGGGTCTCCCTGTGTTGGCCAGGCTTGTCTCAAATTCCTAGCCTTAAGTAATACTCCCACTTCAGCCTCCCAAAGTGCTGGGATTACAGGTGTGGCCACCACCACACCCAGCCCCATCTCAAAATCCTTAATTTAATACATGTACAAATTCACCTTTGTCATGCAACACATTCACAGGTTCCAGGAATTAGAATCTGGACATCTTTGAGGGCCACTATTCTATCTTCCCCAGGAAAGGAGTTATATCTAGGTTACAGCAGCCCTGAAGGCCACATCAGGGAGCATCAGCCTGTTGGGACAGCAATGGGGAACTATTGAAGGATTCTGGTCTGGAGCTACTGGATTAGAGTTGTTCTTTAGAGAAGTGGCGGGGTGAGGGGGGTGGGTTGGAGAAGGAAGGCAGGAAGCGGTGGTTTGTCTGCAAGAGGCCCAGAGTTTCTCACTTCTGCG